CAGGGCGCACGGGCTGCAGGCGGGAGCAGCGTAGGCTCTGCCAAAGGTGCAGAGGCCCCCCGAGGCCTGGGTGGCGCCGGCGCCGTAGAGGCCGCCCAGCCCCAGGGAGCCAGCGAAGGCCGGTGCTCCGGAGGAGCCTACCACGGCCTGCTGGGGGAAGGAGCTGAGGATGGGGCCGGGGAAGGTGACCACCACGGGTGGTGGCTGGATGAAGGCAGAGGAGTCGGGGCACTGGCGGGCGCACAGCTCGTTGCAGCTCTCAGCGATGGGCTGGGGCACAGCCACGCTGGTTCTGGGGGGGCACAGGTCTGCGCTGGTTTTCGGGGGGCACAGGTCGTAGCAGGACATCTTGGCGTGGGATCCGAGGGTGCTCTGCAAGAGAGGGCAGCCATGGCAGGAGAGCAGCCCAAGGCAGCACCTGAGACACAGGGGCCAGGGCTAGAGGAGGGAGCTGCGAGCACAAGTGCTCGCACACTTACCCTTGTTCCCGAGGAGGAGAAGGTGGCCAGGGCAGTGCTTGGTCCAGTCTGGCCCAGGCAGGGCTTTTATAGCAGCCCCGGCACTGCTCATCTACAGCCAGGCCAATCTGGACAGGGGACACTCCCTGCTGCTGCTGCTGTTGACACCAGGAGTGTGCAGCCCCTGCCCCTCCCTGAGTCAGCATCCCCCAGGTGCCAGCCCTGCACACCCCGCTACCCAAGCAATCTTGTCCTTCCTGCCACATCAGATCCATGATAACAGGGATTTCAGCCGGGATTGGGCTCCAGGAACACCTTTCACGGTCTAAGGGGGTGGGGAAGAGCTGGATTCAGCCCAGGCCTGACTAACATACCTCCCCTTTTCCTTATGAAGACTAGGCCTGACTGGAGAAGTCTTTGTTCCCAGCCTCATGGAACCACCTGAGCACTGACAGCAGGCAGATGTGGTATGGTTCTGCTGGGCTGTCCTGTGATGCACAGACCACCTCCAGGCTGAAGGCTCCCAACACCCCTGCACCACATGCTCCAGCCCCTGACAGGGATTCCTGGTGCCCATTCCTGGGTGCCATCCTGGCTATCAAGTATCTGACGTGGCAGGAAGGACAAGATTGCTTGGGCAGCGGGATGTGCTGGGCTGGCACCTGGGGGATGCTGACTCAGGGAGGGACAGGGGCTGCACAGTCTTGGTGTCAGCAGCGGCAGCAGCAGCAGGGAGTGTCCCCTGTCCAGATTGGCCCAGCTGGAACTGAGCAATGCCCAGGTTGCTATAAAAGCCCTGCCTGGGCCAGACTGGACCAAGCACTGCCCTGGCCACCTTCTCCTCCTCGGGAACAAGGGTAAGTGTGCAAGCGCTTCTGCTTGCTGCTCCCTCCTCCAGCCGTGGCCCCTGTGGCTCGGGCGCTGCCCTGGTCTGCTCTCCTGCCATGGCTGCCCTCTCTTGCAGAGCACCCTCGGATCCCACGCCAAGATGTCCTGCTACGACCTGTGTCCCCCGAAAACCAGCGCGGACCTGTGCCCCCCCAGAACCAGCGTGGCTGTGCCCCAGCCCATCGCTGAGAGCTGCAACGAGCTGTGCGCCCGCCAGTGCCCCGACTCCTCTGCCTTCATCCAGCCACCACCCGTGGTGGTCACCTTCCCCGGCCCCATCCTCAGCTCCTTCCCCCAGCAGGCCGTGGTGGGCTCCTCCGGAGCACCGGCCTTTGCTGGCTCCCTGGGGCTGGGCGGCCTCTACGGCGCCGGCGCCACCCAGGCCTCGGGGGGCCTCTGCACCTTTGGCAGAGCCTACGCTGCTCCCGCCTGCAGCCCTTGCGTCCTGCCCCGCTACAGCAAGAAGCTCTGGGACACCTGCGGGCCCTGCTAGAGCCACCACCAACAGTCCCAAACCCCGGTGACTGCCTCAGCCCAGCATGGAGAAGTTGAGTGCTTCACAAGCTGCCCTGGCCTCCTGCAACCCGTGACACCCGGCCTGCTTGGGGCCTGCCCACCATCCCCTCTCCCTGCCTCTCCTGCCCTTCTTGGTACAATAAAGTTTTCCTGCATCCAATTCCTGTCTTTGTGTATTTTTCAGGAATTCTGTTCCCTCCTCAGCTCTTGTGTAGATTCTGATCCCTCCCTTTTTTGTCAGGGCGTATGATACGATTTTTACCCCTTTGATAGGTCAGCTAATCTCTGCTTTGTTTATATAGCTTCATGTTCTACCCTTTGGTTTACTCAGCATTAATTTCAGTATTTTTCCTGGACATACTCTGTCTGTCAGACAGGCAGCAACATGTTTGCAATGAAAGGGAAATTGGGTGTGCTCTTTCCCTTGGTTTTACAGCTTCTGGATTGTGTTTCCATGACTCGGGTAGTTTATGTTTTCAATGTATTGTCTCCAGAGCATATAAAGTGCACAGGGACCTCTGGCCCAGTGAAGTGACTGCACACTCACTGTTATAGCCGGAGCTGATGTCCAGGCCTTGAGGGTACAAAATCCCAATGTGCCCTTTGTTTGTCCCTCCTTGGATTCACCATCTCAAGCTGCTATTCTGTTTTTGCACTGTGATTAAATTATTTTAAGCATCCAGGGGTCTGAGACTCTGCTTGGAAAACCAGGGGTCGAGGCAGTGAGAAATCCTTGTGTGACTGTGACTCTCAGAGTTGTGGGGACTCAAGCAGAGGTTACTGGAACCAATGGTCACTGGAAGCAGTGGTGCCTCAGATGGTTCAACTGCAGGTGACCTTCAGTGCTCTCTGCTGGTTGACAATGTGGGGATCAGTCCTGGGTTGGACTCGATGATGTTGGAGGTGTTTTCCTGGTTCCTGCGGTGCTGAGGTGGCTCCTGGAAGGTGGGACAGGAAGGTTTTTTTGCCATTGCACCACCTCCTTTCCCCGCAATCAGCAGGCACCTGACTCTGCCCTGTCCCATGATGGTCACTCCTTTACTGCTGCTCCCAGCAGTTCAGCCACCTCGTTTTTCCAGTCTGAAACTCTGATTCCCTCAGCTCAGTGCCACTCAGCTTTCTGTTATCAGGGCTTCCAAAACATGCCCCAATGCCAGGAACGCAAATGAATAATTAGAGGTTTTTCGGGACAGATCCTTGAGTAACAAATGAAGTGAACACCCTCCACCCCATAACTCCAGTATAGACACTGAGAGAAAGGTCAGCCCTTTGTTGGATTTTGCAATCAGACATGAGCTCACTCTGAGCAGGCATCCAGCCCAAATTAAAGCTGTGTAATCACTGTTCCCTTCATGTTAATGGCTCTCTTCAGGGGCGTTATCTTGGGCTGAACACTTGTCTGACACAACACCTCATTAGGCTGGTACCTGCCTGGCACTGCCTGGCTGAGAAGTGAAATTTGGCAGTGACAGCTCAGGTGTTCGGCTGGGCTCATTATTTACACCCAAGCACCTCTTGGAGGCTGCAGGTGGAAGCAAAGATCAGAAGAGAAACGGAGGGAAAAGCATCGGCTTTTTGTAAAGTTGTTCCAGGAGCTGCCCTGGATGAGAAGAAAGGGGACAGGGGGAATGAAGCAGGGAGAGAGACGAGAACCTGCCAGGGGAGAGCTTTTGGAGATGCAGCAGGGGATGTTCAGGTTGGACATAGGAATTTCCTCCTGGAAAGGGCAGTCAGGCCTTGGAAGGGGCTCAGGAAGGTTTGGAATTCCCATCCCTTGAGATATCCAAGGAATTCCTGGATGTTGGGCTTGGTGACCGGGTGGAGATCTGGCACAACTCTGATGATCTCAAAGGTCTTTTCCAACCTAAACAATTCTGTGGGGTTTTTTGTCAAAATATTCTCAAATAAGTGTTTGTTTACCCATAAAAATTAAGTCCTGTTTTTTGAAAGCATTGTCATTGACCATTGACTTAAATTCACAGATACCATGGACTAATTTTCATTTCAATTTATTACTTATGGCCATCTGACAGATCAAGTCCAATACAAGGAAGAATATTGAAATTACCTGTGAAAAATAAGATTTGCTGTTCCTTGACACTGATCAAGATAATTTCTTTGAAAGAGTCCCAGTGAAGGAAGAGGTAAATCCTCTCTAATGCATCAGTTCATGTTCTTTTTACCTCACCTGCTGACAGGTTCAGCCAAACCTTCCCCGAGGCGACTTTATCATGGCAGTGATTAGCGAAAAAAGAGAAGGTAGTGCCTCATCTTTGCTCATCAGATACCTATCTCAAAAATTGTTTCCCTTTGTTCACCTTCCTCCTATCATTCCTTTTCAGAAGTGCTTTGGCAGAACTTCAGGCAGTGTTTTTTAGCTTTGTCTTTGAAGGCAGCTGCATGATTTCTAATATATCGCCTGGAAGATGTAAAAATAAAAGGAATTCCAGCACTAAATTAACGACTTAAAAACATAACCATGGAATATCCTGGGTTGGAAGGGCCACACAGGGATTGAGTCCAATTCCTGGCCCTGCACAGGCGCCCTAGGAATCCCACCCTGTGCCTGAGAGCCTTGTCCTTGAGCTCTGGCAGACTTGGGGATGTGACAGTTCCTGTTCCAGTGCCAAACTGGATGGAAATAATTGGAATAACTACTGGAAGTGTGACAGCTGGAATAATTAGTGTAAGGCAGAGAGGACTCACAGCTGCAGGTCTGACCAAAAGCATCTCAGCCTGGTTCGGGAGGAATCCCACTTTGGGGCTTAACAGGAAAAACAAAGGCAGGTTTTGTATGCAGGATTTTTTTATTGCAAGGGCAGGGAAGGCCCCACAGGATGAGGACATGGGAGGCAAAGACAAGCAGGTTGTTCCTCACTAGAGCTGCTCCCTCAGCCTTGTGGGAGGAGGCAGCAGTTTCAGGGAGAAGCCAGTGGATACTGGAGCCTCACATTTGGCCACTGGAAGGGGCGGGGAAGCAGAGACAGAACAAAGGGAGGAGGAAACAAAAAGGAGAATTTCTACAGGGCTTCTGACTCTACAGTCTGAAGTGAAGTTCTGATGCTCTGTCTCTTCCTCGGGGCTCAGGTGAGGATCCACTGGTGTCATTTGCCGAGTTGAGGGATTTTTCCGTCGGGTTTAGCAGGGGCCACAGCTGCCGCGGCGGTAGCGGCCGTAGCGGGAGTAGGAGCTGCAGGAGCCAAAGGATCTCCCAGAGCCAAACAGCAAGTACAAGATGTTATTTACCAACAGAAAATGGCTCTGGAGCTGGCTGCTTTTCCTCAGACAGGAGAGCTTTGAAGCACTGGAATTTCCCCACATCTCTTAAAGATGAAAATTGAATAAGAACAATTATTTGTTCTTAAATTATAAGAACAAATATGATTTGCTGGGGCATTTTGGTGAGTCAGGGGATCAACAAGGAGTGGGACTCTGCTCCAGGAGTTGAGCGTGTTGTTATCCAGGATTTCATGACTCTGGCTCTTCATTCCCACTGATCTCCTTTGTGCTGATCCTTGTCTAAACAGGGATTATAACTCATTGTCTGTTCAGATTTGCTCAGTAGCTTCTTGGATGATACCATTACAAGGGAATTGCAAAGATGGTTGTCCCAAATTTCCAAACATTGAATCAGGGCTTTGAGATCAATGAGCTACAATGAGCTTAACACCCCAGCATTTTGATTCTGGGCTATGAAGTCTTTTGAAAAATTCTCACACCAAGCCACTTGCTCTCATTAACTTGGAAAAACCCAGCGCTTCATGTTTCAGCTCCTTAAGATCCCTCCAGGATCCCTTTTAATCTTAAATAAATCTAATACAGAGCTTTTTAAACAGTTCTCAGTTCTTCTCTGTGTCCTATTCCAAGCCAGTCTCTTGGGGTGTTCATGCCCATATATCTTGAATTAAAAGCATTTCAGTTGATTTGTAATAGAACAAACTGGATCTAACAGCAGGTTTGCCTCTAAACTCAACATTTCCCTGTGAACCAGGAAGATTTAAACTTTCCAAATAATTTCCAGTCACCCATTTAACCAAACAGAGGATAGGAATAAACATTGAACCTTTCACATTATGGATATAACTGGTGAAGACAACCCAACATCCAACAGAATTTTCTAATAAGAAATTTTCAGTTTGGTTTGGAACAGAACACCAGCCTCGAAAGCAGAGAGCAGCCTTCCATAAGGTTTTTGCAAGGTTTATCTCTTCACCTAAAATTTTGCCTACGAGTTCCCACTGGAAGAGAGCACCCCGGATGAATGGTACAGCAAAGAGAGATTCCAAAAGTATCAAAGAGCAGAATTCCAGAAGCAGCAAAGAGCAGCTCCAGACTTACCAAGTTGTTGAGAAGAACGAGTGAAGGGAAGATGTTTGGGAGAACCCCAAGTGGAGACAGCTTTTATACAGTTCAGACTTGCCTGAGGGCTCGGAGGAGCTCATTAGTTGACACAGAACATTTTTTTGTATTGATTGCTCCTCAAAGTGATGAAATTGTTGCTCTTTGTGTTTATTCTTGATTTTGAATGTCGCTTTACGTCACACAAAGTCCTTTGATCTGGAATGCTGATGGGTGAAATTGGTGCATCTTTCATCCTAAAACATGATTCACGAATTAGTGTCAGTTTTCTGGGGTGACACCATGTGCTGAGCTGTTTGCACACACATACTTTTGTCCTGTCTTATAAGAGAATTATGCTCAGACATTTACAGAAATTATAAAACTCTTAGAATGGTTTGGGGACACAAATATCCAGAAAAGTCTTATGTTTTTTCTCACCTTTAAGTCACAGTTTAAACCTGAGTTCAGTTCTGAAGGGAAAGATATTTATGATTTTAAAGGTTAGAATGGAATGGTCAAAATAATCAGAGTGTACATCGAATTAATAATCAAATTTATGTTTTATTGAGATGGTTCCATCTCTGGAAGTGTTCAAGGCCAGTTTGGATCAACCTGGGACAGTCGAAGATGTCCCTGTCCATGGCAGGCATTGGAACAAGAGGGTCTTTGAGGTCCCTGCCAATTTTAAAGAATTCCATGATTCTATATAGGAGAAATCCCAAATTTAGCTGTAGTGGAAATAAATCCAGTTTGTGTTTAGAGAGGACCTTGCACCTAATCTCATCCTTGTTGGCATCTTTCAGCACAGAGCAATTACGAGGTGGGAATCTGCTGGGAAAAGCAAATGTTGGATTTGCTGATGTTTCTGTCTCTGTTTACACCATCATCCTACTCTATCATTATCATCGTTATCATAATCACCCACACGGTTATCTTCACACCATGTATTATTTATAAATTATGAGCTTTTTCAAATCTGGAGATACATATGGGGAATTCCTGAGCCATCATCCTGGAAAAAAAAATAATGCCAAAGTTTTACAAGAACATTCCAAGGGATTTTCAAGCACCTCTTGAACACCCATGACTGACTTGTTCCTACTGTGTCAGAGTTATATAAAATCTTTGCCAGGGTGTAAACACCCCACAATTACAAGAGATTATCTCATTAAAATGCATAAATTGAGGCCACTTGGGTTTTTCCCATAATCAGCTCTTGGTTTATAACATTGACCTTCCTGCCTTTGTCCTTAAGAATAAAATCTATTTTTTCTTTTTTATTTAATACACAGAATGTTGTGTCTCTAACATGTAAAAATAGGAGGGGAAAACAAGGAAAGGAAAGGAAAACTAGATTAAACAACTCAGAAAACTCAATTTCCATGGAATTGTAGCTGCCAGGTGAAATATTTCTCTGTTTCCAGGGACTGAAAGAGAACCAGTGGAGAGTTTAAAAATGAACATGGGGAGAGACTTCTTCTAAGGGTTGAATTGACAGGAAAAGAGGGAGTGGATTAAAACTGACAGAGAGGAGGTTTAGATGGGATATTGGGCAGGAATTGTTCCCTGTGAAGGAAGGGAGGCCCTGGCACAGGATATTCCATGGATTCCCCATCCCTGGAAGCTGTCCAAGGCCAGGATGGATGAGACTTGGAGCACCCTGGTCTATGGAAGGTGTCCCTGGATGATCTTTAAGGTCCTTTTCAACCCAAACCATTCCATGATAGCATTTTATGGTATAAAGTCAATTCAAAGATGCTCCTGATTGTTGTGTTTGCCTTGCCTTGAGTAGGTGGAGGGAGAAATGCTGAGCCTGCATAACCAATGTTTTTCCCTTTGTTATTTGTCTGCAGTCTTCATTTGAGTTCCTAAAAGAAACTCCATTGGCTCCATGTCTCCTGTTAATCTCACCCAAGAACCTTTACCTGGGCAAAACCATGAGTGTCCTTCAGTCATCCTAATTATGAAGGACTCATAAATAATTCAAGTCAGCTTTATTTCCTCCCCTAACGCTAATGAAAGCAATGGGATCATAAAAAAGAATTCCTCACATAAAGCCTGGAGACAATAGAGGTCTGGGGTGGAATGTGCAGATCATGCTATGTGTGGTTTTGAAGTGCACCAGCAATAAGCAAAGACAATTTCAGCACTTTGGGGAATTATGTGTCCTGCAATTTGGGGTTGGGACCTAATTATGCACTGGTGCATCAGGTGACCAGTGCCCTGTGGGCAAGCAGAGAGCTCTATAAAAGGCGTCTGCACCAGGTCCTTCCATCCACTTCTCTCACCTGTTCTGCCTTCGTGAACCAGGTAAGTCACTTTTGTCTCAAACTTCTCTAAATTGAACTTCATGTCAAGAAATCTGGTTGCAGCCAGGCTGCCACTGCTCTTGTAGGATATTTGGTGTTTATTTTCTCATTTATCTCTAGGTGTTTTAAGAGAGGGAATCACTGAGTGGTATTGAACCCCAAACTTGTATTATTTTAGCACTCCAAAGGGTTCCTTGTCTGTATTTTAGGAGATAAAGAATAACCTGTATATGTGGCTACATTTGGTAGAGTTTTGCTGAGTTTGTAGCAGGAAAGATAAAATCTGAGTAGAAATCATCAGCTCAGAGTAATGTAATACTTATGAAATTATCTGATCAGGAAATTCAAAGATACAGCTGAAGAGTACAGACTGTATTGGACTGAAGTCAAGAGTAGCCCAGAGATCACAGCCATAGGAAAAATAAGAAAAGGAAATACATTTACTTCCCAGATTTATTACTGATACCCTTGGACTGCTCCAGCAGAGCCTAAAGTTTGCTACTCCTTTAAAATTAATATAAATTAACACCTTCCACAGATCAACCTCCACCCCTGCAAGATGTCCTGCTACGACCTGTGCTCCATTGGTGGCTCTGGCCTCATCGGTGGTGCCGGCCTCATCGGTGGCTCCGCCTGCGGTGCCCTCCGTCCCCAGCCCCTGGCCGGCAGTGGGAACGAGCCATGCGTCCGCCAGTGCCCTGACTCCACCACCGTGATCCAGCCTCCCGCCGTGGTGGTCACCTTCCCCGGCCCCATCCTCAGCTCCTTCCCCCAGGATTCCGTGGTGGGATCTGCTGGAGCACCCGTCCTTGCAGCCTCTGGAGCCTCCCTGGGCTATGGGGGATTTGGCCTTGGGGGCTATGGGGGATTTGGCCTTGGGGGCTATGGGGGATTTGGCCTTGGGGGCTATGGGGGTCTGTGGGGCTATGGGGGCTCCTCCCTGGGCTATGGGGGTCTGGGGTACTGTGGGGGCTCCTCCCTCGGGTACCGGGGCCTGTTTGGCTCTGGGAGATCCTTTGGCTCCTGCAGCTCCTACTCCCGCTACGGCCGCTACCGCCGCGGCAGCTGCGGCCCCTGCTAAACCCGAGGGAAAAATCCGAAGTGAGGTCTCATCAACAGATGAAATGTGATGGTTTCACAGCCAAAGAGCTTGGAACCACTGCTGCTCCATCCAAAAACTACGGATTTGTAGCTGTTCAGCCCCTTTTGGATTTCTCCTCTTTCAGCTTCTTCCTCAAAGCTTCTCCTGCCCCATTTCTGTGTTGCCTGGGGTAAATATGGAACAAAAGGGCTCAAAATGGGTCCTGTTTCTTCACATCAACAGCTGGGATTTGGAAGAGAATCCCAAACAATCACATGTGAATGTGCCTCTGGCTGGAGAAGAGTTTCTTGCTTCTTGGAGACTTTGCAAATCCATTGTTTTGCTTATTGTCATTAAAAGTTTATTGCATCAAAGTTGCCATGTTCTGGTGTTCTTTTCTCCTGTTTTCACCATTATTATTTGCCTTTGGAGAAGCCTCACCTGTTCAGGTGTCAGTAACAGCCTAAAATATCCTGGAATCATGGAATGTTTGGGTTGGGAGGGATCTTAAAGCTCATCTCATTCCACACCCCTGCCAAGGGCAGGGACACCTCCCACTGGCCCAGGTGGCTCAGAGATTCATCCAGCCTGGCCCTAAACCATGGAGATTAATGTCCTGCCCAAAAAACAAGGGAAGATTACATTTCCATACCAATTTTTTTCCAGGTTAAACTTTCATCTCTTTGACCTTCATGTTCTGACTCAAATATTTCTTCAGTCAAACATTTAAACTCTGTCTTCAGGAACAACCTCAGCAAAAAGTTAAATCAATTTCCTGTCAAATCTTTAAATAAAGTTTTCTGGGCCACAGAGTGGAACTTTGAAATCTGAAATCTTTCTGAATAATCATGAAATGTGAAGTGTTGGATGGCTTTTGACAGAAAAACAGCTCCTTCAAGGATTCACTCACACCAGCAAGAAAAGCTGGAGCAGAGAGAACCTGGGAAAATGGTTCCTGGAAAAATTAATTGGTAGAAAATGCCTTAACCTGTGAGCAAATGCACCCTTCCTCTTGCTCTGGTGTGATTCCACCTTCCAGGATCTACAGGGAAGCTGGAGAGGGAACTGGAGTGACAGAACAAGGGAGAATGGATTCAGACTGACAGAGGGCAAATTTAAGGTGGATATTGGGAAGAAATCTTTCTCTGTGAGGGTGAATAGACCCTGGTACAGGTTTTCCTGGGAATCTCTGGTTACCCCATCCCTGGAAGTGTCCAATGCCAGATTGGATCTACCTGGTCCAGCAGGAAGCGTCTCTGCCCATGGCAGGGGATGGAAGGAGAAGATATTTTCTTTTTTGTCCTGTCTTATTGAGTCTTGTCCTGTTGGATTTGGTCTTTTCAATCCAACCCATTCCATGAGTCCATGAGTCTGTAATGTTATTATTGTGCCCCAGGACAGCTGGGTGGGAAGATTCCTGCTCCCAAAATCTGGATCAAGGAGCAGTGGCTGACTTCACTCCCAGCTAAGACATTCCAGGTGGTTTTGAAGTCTGAACCTCAGCCTAGTGTAAGGATTTATATTTTCCCCCACCTTGTACAGAGAGAAGTGTTGCCAACCCACAGCCAGAGAAATTGAAACTAAAACTTCATTTGTTTTTTGCAGAACAGAATCACTTTAATGAGAAAAAAAACATTCACAGAAAAACATTGCAGAGTATGAAGAATATCAGATCACAGGCAACTCCTTCCAGAGTTGCTCTTCTCCAGTTGGACAGTGAAGTCGCATTTTAGAAGAAGATAAATTACATATTACACACACACAGACAGAAAAAAAAGTACAGAAGACAACAAGCAGAAGGTGAATGAATCAAGGAGGAGTTGTGTGCTTCCATCTCGGCCGGGGTGGGGTGGATATGGTCACAACACCTCCTCTGGGGCCAGGATTGCATCTCTCCGTTGTCAGTGATTCTTTACTCTGGGATGTTTCCCTAGGGTTTAGCAGGAGCCCCAGTAGCCACGGCCGTAGCGGCCGTACCAGGAGTAGGGGCTGCAATAGCCAGAGCCAAAGGCTCTGCCGGAGCCATACAGGCCCCGGTACCCGCCACAGGAGCCCAGACCCCCATAGCCCCACAGACCCCCGTAGCCCAGGGATCCGTAACCCCCATATCCATAGAGACCCCCATAGCCCAGGGATCCATAGCCCCCATAACCCAGGGATCCGTAGCCCCCATAGCCCAGGGATCCGTAGCCCCCATAGCCCAGGGACCCGTAGCCCCCATAGCCCAGGGAGGCTCCGGAGGCTGCAAGGACGGGTGCTCCAGCAGATCCCACCACGGAATCCTGGGGGAAGGAGCTGAGGATGGGGCCGGGGAAGGTGACCACCACGGCGGGAGGCTGGATCACGGTGGTGGAGTCAGGGCACTGGCGGACGCATGGCTCGTTCCCGCTGTCAGCCAGGGGCTGGGGGCGGAGGGCACCGCAGGCAGAGCCGATGGAGCACAGGTCGTAGCAGGACATCTTGTAGGGATTGGAGGTCAACACAGGCTAAAAAAGAAGGCAAGGAGTTCACAATTCGGAAATTTAAATTAAAATTACAAGTAGAGTGTTCGGAGCACTTTGCAATCTCAGTGTTCTCTTTTTCTCAAAAAGCGTTTTTTTCAAAAATTCTCTAAAGGGTGTCTGCACACAAGAGCAAGTGGGAAATGTTCTAAAATCCTTGTCCCCCATAACATCCTGCAAAAACTGTGACTGATTTCTCCACATTAAACTGAAAACCGGGAGCAAAAGCAACGAGAGCAAAGTGACTTTGTCCAAGGTCGTTGGATGAGTCATTAGGAAAACTCAGATTTGGGTTCAGCAGGTTTGCATGAGATGGAGCTTATAGAGAACTTAATTACAGTAGCTTCATCTTCCCACTCATCCCAATTTTGCTGAGAGTCAAGGGAACAACAGATTATAGGATTGTGAGCACCTGGCTTTCCCAGAAAGGCATCTGACAAGACAATAAACAACAAATCTCCAAGGATGTTCTGTAAATCCTTGACAGAGTTCTGAGGAGGAGCTTGAAAGCAAGAAGGTGAAGGAGAGCCTGAGGATTTGTGGTAGCAAGTCACAAATGGCTTTATCATGTGTGAACGGCTGCAGGGGTGACACCCTTGTTAAACCTTAAACCTTTTATGCAAAGGTTGAGATGGGTTAAATGTATCAAAATGAGGATCAGAGAATCACAGGCTTCCTCAAGCTGGAAGTGACTTAAAGGGCTCAAGTCCAACCACCTGCTCTTTGCAGGGTTATTTAGAGCTAAAACTGAGAATCTTGGAATTGCCTGGTTTGGAAGAGACCTTAAGAGATCATCCAGTTCCACCCACTCCATGGGCAGGGACACCTCCAACTACCCCAGGTTGCTCCAAGCCCCATCCCAACTGACTTTGGACACTTCCAAGGATGGAGAATCCATGGAATATCCAGTGCCAGGGCCTCCCCACCTTCACAGGGAAATATTTCTTCCCAATATCCAACCTAAATTTCACCTCTGTCAGTCTGACCCCGTACCCTATATCCTATCCCTGCAGTTCCTGAGGAAAGTCCCTCTCCAGCTTCCCTGGAACCCCTGCACAACCTCAGGTCTCCAAACAACCTCTGTTCCTCCAGGCTGAACATTCCCATCTCTCCCAGACTATCTCCATAGGGTAGGGGATCCAGTCACCTCAGCTGACTCAGAGCACTGTCCAGTTGCTACAAGGTCTGGAGTTCCTGACACCAAGAACTCCACAGGGCTCCACACACCAAAAAAATTGTATCTGCCACCCCAGAGACAGAGAAGTCCTTGATCTTTCCCAAGTCCATGCAGATTCACCCAACAGAAAGGATGTTGGACATCAACTGGAGTTGAAACCAACAATAACAAATACAGCGAGAGCAACGGAGAAGATTCAGACTTACCCAAGTCTCCAAGAAGTCAAGGGAAGCGTTTGGAGGAGCGAGGAGACAGAGGAGCTTTTATATCAGCTGGAGGCACCAGATCAGCATCTCTTGCCCGCCCCAATTTCAAACTCATGCAACCATCAGGATGATGAAATTGTTGGGTTCATTATTGGCGTTTATGAGGGCTTTCAAATTTGTTTGTAATAATGATCTAAACATCACCTGAGATTATAGAGAATTCTTTCATCTTGTGACGAACTGGGGGGAGATTAACACCCGGCATTATTCCTGTCACTTCCTTGGAATTACATCAGGAATCGCCAAGCCAGCTCCTCTTGGTATTAACTGAATACCTGGAGAGTGGCTCATGGGTTCATCGGAATCACAAATTCCACTGGAATTTAATCCTGAGCAGGAAAAACAGTGAAATCCTAAATTTTGGCCATTTCCACAGAGTTCCATGGAGGAGACAGAGAGGACCATTTGTCTTCCTGAGGCTTGTTTGGGTTTGGGAGATAAACAAGGAATTAATTCACAAAGTTAATGAAAGCCACGAAAGGATTGGAGGTCCTGAAGAGACTTTTCCCAGGTGTTGAGGGTCTGATGTTTTCTGGACAAAGGTGGCACCTGAGAACATTGAATGGGCCCGAGGAAATGTGGGATTTTTTAGGAAAAAATGGATTCTCGGGTGCAAAAGTCAAAATGTGACGCAAGTACTTTGAGTTATTGCCTTGTGTTCTTAGGAATTCATGAGCTCCTGTGATACACAAGTCATAAATCCCAAAAAGGGCTGAGCTGGAAGTTTCTGAGGTGAGGGAACAATGAGGAATTTGGAATGTGTGACACAAAGGCTCCTTCTTGCCTCGTTTACGGGTGGGCCATTTTAATATTGCAGACTCCACGCCATAGGTGATCCCTAAATGGTGAGGTGGGGTTCTCAGCATTTGGGGGGCAGGGGCTTTTGGACAATAATCTTTTCAAGCTTCCGGGAGCAAGTCCATGCAAATCCTGTGAATGACCCATTAGATTAAAGGCATGGAGCTGGATTTAGGTTCCTCACAATTATGGAATGACATCACATTCAAACACCGCAGTCAAGATGTTTATGGTATCTTGGTAACCATTGGTATCATCAGTTCAAAGCCAAATACTGGGGGCTTGTGACCCTTCAGGTTTTTCCCCAATGAAAAAATAATTTGAAATAAAAAATTCTGAATAAAACCCGGAAATTCATGAATTGTATTTTATTTAAAAACAATGCCAGGGATAGCTCAACCACAGACTCTGGTCTTAGGGAACAAGGGACAGGAGAACAGGGAATGGCCTTGGTTGAGGGTCGGTCACAGCTTGGACTTGATGGTCTTGGAGGGTTTTTCCAACCCAAATAATTCCAAGATTTTGTAACAAAAACCCTTTAAGGACCACAGGATGATTTCCATGCCTTCCTTTGGGTTCCATAATGTTCTTACATTAAGTAGAGTAATGATGATAGAAATGACCACCCCAAAGTTGCTCTAAATAATTTTTTCTCCAGGTATTTTGTTTTTTAATGGAAAAAAGCTCTGCACACCAGGTGACCCCAAGCGAGCAGACGGGTTTTGCCATTAATGATGGAGAAGCTCTGGAAGAGCGTTGGGATAATTCCTGCTGTAACGCCAGGGCTGTGAATGGAATGATAACAGGAATGAGGATGACTTGTCACCATTCCAGATGAAAGAGGGCTCTGTGATGAAATGCGCCTCTCACATTTCACGAGACTCCTGGCCAGCAAATAAACAAAGAGTCAGCAGAACTTTGAGGACCTAGTGTCACATTCATTTGGGGTTTGCCCCAATTATGCACATCCCCAAATTGCACCTTAGATGTTCCCCAGGACTTGGGAATGGTATAAAAGCTCTCCCAACCTGGGGCTCTTCACTTCGCCTTCCTTGCCTCATTCACCTCCACAAGAAAGGTAAGCACGATTCTAAGGGATCTCTTCCCTTAGAATTTTCCCTTAGAAAATTCCAGTCTCTCTTTTCTGCTGGTCTTAATCAAGGTTGGGGTCATCCATAAGGATTCTGAGATTCTTAATATTTGGGTTATTTTGTGATGGTTTTATTTTTAGTTGGTGTTGGACATTCATAAGTTCAAAATGGTAAAATCATTCTTTCTTCTTAGTAAAATTAGAAAAATTACCAAAGCAGCTTCCAAAACCTTGCAGAAGGTTTGTTCAGCCAATAAGAATTTTCTATGGGCTTTCTGTGGTGAGAAGGAAGTACAAGAAATTAGGAATGGGACCCCAGGAGAGATGACAGCTCAGAGAGCGAGTGATTTACAAAAACACTGATGAGAAGGAAGGACAAGCAAGACTTGAGACATAACAATTATTTTCATCCACACATCCAACTGTCAAATCTTTTAACCATTGAATTTCTGCCTTTTTCTCACTCCTCAGTGTCTGCTGACCTCCAATCCCTACAAGATGTCCTGCTACGACCTGTGCTCCACCGGCTCTGCCTGCGGCGTCCTCCGCCCCCAGCCCCTGGCTGACAGCGGGAACGAGCCGTGCGTCCGCCAGTGCCCTGACTCCACCACCGTGATCCAGCCTCCCGCCGTGGTGGTCACCTTCCCCGGCCCCATCCTCAGCTCCTTCCCCCAGGATTCCGTGGTGGGATCTGCTGGAGCACCCGTCCTTGCAGCCTCTGGGGCCTCCCTGGGCTATGGGGGCTATGGGTCCCTGGGCTATGGGGGCTACGGATCCCTGGGTTATGGGGGCTATGGATCCCTGGGCTATGGGGGTCTCTATGGATATGGGGGTTACGGATCCCTGGGCTACGGGGGTCTGTGGGGCTATGGGGGTCTGGGCTCCTGTGGCGGGTACCGGGGCCTGTATGGCTCCGGCAGAGCCTTTGGCTCTGGCTATTGCAGCCCCTACTCCTGGTACGGCCGCTACGGCCGTGGCTACTGGGGCTCCTGCTAAACCCTAGGGAAAACCCTCTGGATGATGTAGAAGGGAAAAGCAAAATGCAGATTTTTCTTCCCTTTAAATTCTTTTCTGGTACCTCCATGAGTTCAATTCCTTGTTATCTTCTTTATCACCCCTGTGGCTGAATGCAGTGACAGACTGAAGTGTCTTTCAAGCTCTGCCTGTATTTACAATCCTGATGTTGCCATGTTGTTTGTGTTCTTTTCATTCTCATTAAAACTGTTGCATCATTGAAAATCCTTGTGTTGGGCTTTTGTGTCCTCACCCACCCTGAGTTTGCCAACCTCGCTGGATAAAGCTCCCTGCTCTACATGAGGGTGCAAAAACATTGAGCAAACTCTGCCCAGAGGGGAAAATCTCCATGGAGAGTCTTCCATGAGGCTGTTTTACCCATAAATTTACAATTTCAGTAAATTTACATTTACAGAATTACAATGTAGTCACAGCATGGTGGCCAAAGTTGAGCAGAAGTTTCCTCTACATGCTGAGCAGAGGGGAATTCTTTAAATCCAAAACAAGGCCCTCTTGGGTGGTCATGGAATCACAGAATTGGGTTGGAAGAGCATTGAAGATCGTCAAGACCATGGGTTTAATTTATTTATATATTAAATACAAATAGAATTTG